AGACTTTTTACAAAATCTTAGCGGCCATGACCAAGATGCGACTGGAAGAAGCGCTGGAACCATGGCTACTCAAAACGCAATATGGTTTTCGAAGGAAAAGGTCGACAGCGCAGGCAATCTTCTTGGCTAGGCGACTTATGGATATTGCGGAGAGACAGGGTACCAATTTGACACTAACGCTACTGGATTGGGAAAAAGCTTTCGACAAGGTCGACCAAAGCAAACTAGTAAAGGTGCTCCAACGTCTGTGCATACCAGAGCGCATGGTAAACCTCGTACGAAACATTTATAGATACGCGCAGTTCAGAGTTGTCCAGGGTGAGCACAGCTCAGCATTCCATAGGCAGGAATCTGGCATACGGCAGGGCTGCCCCTTATCCCCTTATCTTTTTGGCATAATTCCATGGTATCAACTATGCCGAAGTCCTATACGCGGACGACACTTTACTGTTTGGAACGCACACGCAAACAATAAACAAATTACTCCGGCAAGTCCAAGTGGAGTCTGCCAAGTACAACTTGGCGCTGAACTTTGAAAAGTGCATTAACCTGACAATCAATCGAAAGCAATCCTCGGTAAAATTCATGAATGGCGCGCAGGTCCCTCGAAAAACACAAGCCACATATTTGGGCGCCACCTTGACAGATGCCGTAGACAATCACAGAGAAGTTATCAAGCGAATCGGAGAAGCCGCAGCAGCTGCCAACCAACTACGGATTTTTTGGTCACAAGCTCGTACCACTATCGCTTGGAAAATAAGGGTCCTAGACAGTATTGTGATAAGCAAATTGCTTTACAGTCTTGAAACAATACAGCTAACAAAGAGTGAACAGAATAGGCTAGATGCCTGGCAACATAAAATGCTCAGGCGAATACTGAATGTGCCACCCACGCATCTGGATCGAACATGGACAAACCAAAGAGTCGTAAACACGCTAACGCAGGCACACAACTACACGCATGTGAGCCTTTGCAAAATGGAAATCTAGAAAACTTACGTTGCTCGGGCACATACTCCGAGCCACAAGTGCTGACCCCATGAGAGAGGTCCTGTTCCACCCGCACACCAATATTCCGAGACAAGAACATATCAGGCGCGTAGGAAAACCAAGAGCTCATTGGCTGATTGAAACCTTGCAAGATGCATACAAGCACATCCATCCGGACCGAGTGTTTGACGCCAACAACCAAGAGCAAATCAACATGCTAGCCGAGAGAGCAAGCGCCAGGGCTGCCCCGTTCCATGCAAGAGGATGAGAAGTTGCAACGGAGAGGGAAGAGTCGAGAAACACCCAGTGATGTCGCACTGTCATATAATCTGTCACCGAAGATCTCAACGAATAGGGACTGCGAGAGACTTCAACTGCCTAGGGGACAACTGTGGTTCAACCTTTTCCTTTTACGGAGAAAAACCTCTGGCCTGCGGCACTGGTCACGGTACAGTTGCAGTAGGGTAGCGCTCAGCTCTGCATCGAGCAGCGCGTGGCAAAAAAAAAAGGCTTGCAAACTTCACCTACTCGCCCCACCATTTTATGCACCACTCGCGTCACTCGCTCCACACATTCCACACGCTCCACTTGCTTCAATCGCTTCGCTAACCCCCTTGCCCCTTACTCCATTCGCCTATGATCCGCTCGCCCCACTCGACCCACTCAGCCATTTCGCCCCACTCGGCCCACTCGATCCACTCGACCCACTTGACCCCCCGCTTGCTCGACCTACTCGACCCACTCGACCTACTCGGCCCCCGTTGCACGCCCCGTTTGCCCCCGGCTGTCGCTCGCCTCGTTCGACTTGGAGCAAGCGGGGTGAGCGGGGCATTGGGGACAAGTGAAGCAAATGCGGCAAGTGGGGCAAGTGGGGCAAGTGGGGCAAGCGGGGCAAATAGGCAAGTGGGGCAATTGGGGCAAGTGGGGCAAACCAATAATTACCGTGCCCACCCTCCCGACACTCTGGCATTCCAAAGCCCAAAGTGCGCAGAGGGTTGCGCGAGCGAAGTGGAAAGCATGAAAAACCGAGTTTTCGCAGGTCTATACCCGCCCAAAGTGCGCAGAGGGTTGCGCAAGCGAAGTGGACAGCGTGAGAAACACCGAGTTTTTAAAGGTCTAGCCGGCCAAAGTAAGCAGAGAACGAGCCCGCAAACCCACAGCAGAGAAGACTGCCCGCAAAATGGACGCTAAGCGTCCATGGCGCACCAGGACTCCCCCGCACGCGCTGGGCGCACTCCCGGCAGAGCCTGCTATATGTACTATATGTGCATGGTATCGAAGCAGGTCCGCCCAGATGAACACGGCTTGTTGCTGTTCCGCTTCGAGAACACATTATTCCACTATCGCGTTTGTCACTTCGGAGCCCGTTTCTCCGCGTACTCATCATGACCGCTGCAAGAGGCGAAGGCTTGGGGTGGACGCCGTCCAGGTGGAGGCTTGTGGGGCGTGCTTCGTTCAGGATCATGACATGTATAGCTCTTTGTGGCTGACCTACTGGCCGCATTGCGCCGACCAGCGTTGCATGGGTGAAATTCCAGGACAGCCTGACCTGGCGCGGCTGGTGCATAAATTTTGCACATGAGATCATAGAGTTGACGCCAGAAAAAAACAGCAAAATTGAAGGAACAGTTGCGTGCCCTTTTCAGATCCGGCCACGTAAAGCGTAAGCTCCTGGAACAGGTCTTGGGCCTTACCAGCATAAGCGTAGGGCCTGGCTTGCGCCGCTGTGTTTGGATTTGCGCCTCCAGGATGCATGATGTCGGTGAATGCCAGGCTCTGGCCTGCATTCTTGTCAGCGCTGAATTCCAAAGCAGTGCTAACCGCACCGGTGCAAGGCATACTCATGCCGCCAGGCTCCCAAGTTTTGGAGTTCAAGAACCCTCAAATTCGAAGCCTTTCAGACCTGCCTCAAGTCATTCAGAGCCACAACGCGGTTTGGCTCTGCATCACAGACCCATCCACCGAGCACACGCGCATCTCCAAACCTTGCAAAGCTAGCTTGGAGTGGCTCTTGCAGCGCATGCAACTGGACCTTGTGTGCCTCGGCGTAGGTGCACAAGCATAAATGGTCCATAGTAGCCTCGCATATACCAGGCGAATATAACACCTGGGCCGATCAGCCTAGTAGAGGGAACCTCTGGCCCGAATTTGCTTCAGGTTGCGTGATTTCTGGATAAAGCCTTGACTTTGCGTCCGCATGATGCACCCTGGCGCCCAGAGCGCAGGAACGCCTTGCAACCACACAGAAAAGGGGGCGATTCGCTTTGGCGCCCTCAGGCCCCGCATCAGATGCTGGACTCGCGCGTGCGTCTCTCAGCAACACCATGGAAAAAGAAGCGGCGCGTTCGCCTTCACGGTTGCCTTGCTTTTTCCTGGGTGGTCCCCCTGTTATTGGCTTGAAGCAGTGAACAGGATTCTAACGTTTGAATCTTCGGCCGCGTTGCCATTTCTGCCCTGACATCTCTAAGGTGTACCTGGGAAACGGCGCCTCAGCATGCATGTGCAAGCAGCATGGGCGTCTTGCTTGGACACGGATTTGAGGTTGGCATAGTACATAGTACCCTGCCCCACTTTCAGGTGCGCGCGTTGCATCCTGATCGCGTGGTGCACGCTTTGCACCTAGCCAGTCATACTTTCCCTCCGTTCATGCCTGCGGTATGTTTCCTCGCGTGTAGGTCGAACACGCGTTGTTGACTGGGGGGTTAGATATCAGGCCCCGCGTCAGATGCAGGAGAAGGGGCTGGACGTTGTCAGCTTCCTTGCATCTTTAGGCCTGCGCCTTTGAGCAACACCATGGAAAAAGAAGCGGTGCGTTCGCCTTCACGGTACCTTGCTTTTTCCTGGCTGGTCCCACTGTTATTGGCTTGAAGCAGTGAACAGGATTCTAACACTAGCAACCCCCTTCAAATACCCCAAAAATAGACTCCCAAAAGCACGAAAACGCGGGGATGTTTCGCAGTAAACACCCATTTTTGCAAATTCAATCAGTTCCTCAACGTATCACCGCACTTGGCCCCACCCAGACCCCTAGCAAAACACCATTAGTATCTGCAAAAACAGAGCAAGGTGACCCTGATGATGCTGGGGATGCAGATCCTGCGTGTCCGGGGGAAAACCCCCCCCAGGAACCTAGGCGAAACGCAGGTTTTTAGCAGACAAACCCCAAAAACCCTGCACAATTACAGAGTTTTTGTCACCCAGCACACCATGCCCAAAAAATGGCAGCCCCAAAAGCCTTCGGTTTTGACAAGAGATCCGAAGGAAGACCAAGTTGCGGACTGCCATCTACACGCTCGACTGGCGTCGGCGGATTGGAAGTCAAGTGTTGGAGAACAAATGTGCTTCTAGCGTTGAACCCGTTGCACTACAGGAATTGGAGGGTTTCATTCTTTGAAAGAGCAAATGGTCGTATAGTGCTAATTCGGACATTTTGATTTGACGGGTCTTCCTTTTGAGAATTGGATTTGAGTTGCAGTTGATCTGGCTTAGTATTTGTTTGGTTTGATTTTTGGTTTGAGGTAGTGTTTGTTGGAGCTGATTTTCATTTTGGTTTGGTATTGTTGTGTCTTCCTTTGGAGATTTGTCAAAAGTTGCAACTGGATTTGATGTAGTATTTGTTGCATTTGATCTACTATTTGGCCTAGTATTGCATGAGGCAGATGGACATGGGGGTGGGAGGACCAGATTATGTTCGGGGTGGGGGGGGAACTCGTGTCGAGTACTTGCGATTTTTTGAAGTTGGTATAATTGGGAGGGTCTAGGCCAGCTGGATTCCGAGCAAGGGTTCATGAATCTTGTGTTGGCGGTACCACGCTTGGCAAAGGCCATTTAGTTCAAGAGCTTTTGGCGATAAGGAAAGCAGACATGTGTGCGTGCACCGGTCATGCATCATTCTTCCAGTCGCAAGTTCACGCGTACCGAAACACCTCAACCGTATACGCAGGCTTGAAGCTGCGAATATCCAAAGACTGTAAGCGGATGGTTGCCGTAGCTTGCAGAGCACGACGCATTGCGCTTATCCAATTTTCTGTGACAAGCGCCATGGCTGACCTTGTGCGAGAACAAGACCCAGGTTGCACTCAGAGATTATCATTCACTTTGTGCATGGTCTATTTCTTTTGAAACAAGGTAGCGAAGTTAACCCTTTGGTTGCCAAGACCATGTATACTTTTGGCATTGGCCTGGCCCATCTGAGACAATAAGCACTTGTGCGATGCGCACTTGTTGACCCGTCAAGCAATTGCACCGTCGCAGGAGAGCGGGGTACGGTGCAGAAAAATGTGTTGGGCCGACAGCAGGACCTCGGCAACGCAGGGACACAAATATCAAATATCATCCAGTGTTCTTGCAGGAGCCAGAGAAAGCACGCCTGAACAGCGCAGAGCGACGTCGGGGCAGACAGTCCAGCCATGTTCGGGCAAGGTTCGCTGGCCTGGTTGGTTGCAGGTTGAGTGACCGCACTGAGGCCACGGATTGACCTGGACAGAGCTTCACGCTTACAAGGTGGGCGGGTCACGGACGCTTTGGGTCCTTCTGCCCCTCAAGTTTTGGACTTCATCCTTTTTGTCCATTTCACTTTTGTTCATGTTTGGGGTGGCGATTTCGCACTGCAGAATCAGACAGCGAGGACAGGATGACCTTTCCCGTGCTCCCAACCATGATGGCGGTGGACGAGCTTCCCAAGGATGGCCATGAAACGTAGAGTTCGCCCTGCCACTCCAAGAACGATAGGTTTTTGTGAGAAATCCTTGCAGGACATTTGCCTCTGCGACAACGTCTTCCGCAGCCTTGACCGCTGCATTGACAAGGCTGCGCAAGTCTTGCAGATGGGCATGCCAGGGATCCAGACATGTCAAGCAAGCTTGGATGCCAGAGTTTCATGGCAAAGTTTGCAGGACTGGTCGAGTCGAAACTGTTTGCTAGGCACATTGCTGGAGTTGACGTTCCCAGAGTTGGCTTGCCAACTAACTGGTTGAAGCAGCATTGAATTGCTCTTGATTTCATTCGAACCATGTTTTGTGTATTCTGCATGACCATTCTGTGTATTTACACGCAAGCAGTAGTCTCATTTCGGTCACACACACACACGCTTGATTTTGAAAGAGAGGACACGAGACAGGTAGAGGACATCTCAATTGACCTTGATGAAGTGCACATGCTTCGACTATTCCAATGTGTCCCGATCATCATGATCACACGCAATTGGTGCTCCCCGGCAACCATGTGGACGGACAATTGTCCGAATCCGAACACTTCTAGGTTTGTTTGTCACGATCTCCGGAAACTTTCCAGATTTTTCGTGAAGCCGCTTGACCGGCAAGAGTTGAATCCTGGAATCCAGCCACAAGTGGCAGATCCGGCCAGGGCATTGAATCGGAGAACCCGGCGACTCCCTACTCCCGCATGCAAATTTGCAAGCCCCATTGGAGCGAAGCTCAGTGTGCTGCGACTTTGCAGTCCGCGAGTTGGGGCGGGGTTTTGTTTTTGTTCTGCTTGCGCACTAGGATCCGCTTTATCAAGTGCGTGAAGCGCAGAGATGAGCTGGTGATGCGTGGCGTGAAGCGGTGGGAAAGGAGGCGTGGCAGCTGATGAATTCGAACGGGGAACACCCTCGAGCGTGGTTGGTGGAACTGGCTCCCCATGCAAATGGTTTCCACCAACTTGCCACAAACAAATACTAATACCCGTCCGTCATTGCTTCATAGATGTTTGCGTTTGAAGTTGCTTTCGCGCAGTTACTACTCGTCTTTGGACCAGCCGTCCCAGAAGGAGTACCTTGAAGATATCGATACCAAGATGCGGTGCGCCAATTCCATGCTTCAAGCACGTGTGGAGAAGCACATTCACATAGAACCGTGTTCTAGTTTCAATTGCTGCATTGTCGGTTGCACTCGGTCCGGCCTGTTTGGTGTTGTGCACTTTTTGATTCTGCCCAATGCCCTTGGAAGGTACTTCATGTATGCCGCATCCCACTCGAAAGACGGCGAAAAGAAGAAGAGGTGCCGCATAATTCGCAAGTGCGAATGCTCCTGCCAGTATCACAACCCTCACTCACATGTGATTGGAGACACTCAGGGGGAAAGCCGTGATCAGAGGGATGGTGTTTTATTTTGGCATGACCCTACATAGGCTTGCTGAAATTGTGTTATACAAGCCCGCTTCATGCTGAGCTTGGCTTGGTGTGCTCAACTACTGTTTCTGGATGCTTTTTTTATATCCTGGCATTTGGGATTTGCATGAATTTGGTCACCGACACACGCCTGACACGGACATATTGCACCTGACCAGCCCTGTGCAGCCGAAGTGTGCGGCATATGGCGCACGCTGATTTGCCTTGCTGTTGGAACAAAACCAAGTGCAAAGGGCAAGGTTTTTCGTCGACGGCGTATATTTGCTGTGAAGTGCATCGTTCTTTCAGGTTGGAGATGAATGCCCAGCACTGCGCCATCCGTCACTCCAACCTCCTGAAGCCGGAGACGGAGGCGGGAAGAAGCGGACCAGAGCCGCGATCCGAGGGATAATCAAAACGCAGGGGGCCCTTCCGACCAGGTATTGGCATTGGTATGTTGTGTGGAGTGCGCCTAATTGCTAGAGTTTTGGGCGAGTTTTGTCACACGATGCGAGGATTGATGTCCCGTGCCCTTGTTGAAAGTATGTGGTAGGTCTAGTTTCAAGAAGGAGCCTTAGGTCTGGGTGCTCAATGCTAGGGGGGCTGCCAAAGTTGGGAATGTAGAAAGGCTTTCCAACTTGTGTGGCAAAGGCCCGGCTGTACCCATTGGATTGACGATGTGCTAGGCGCCTTCTGCGCTGGTACCTCCCTCAGAGAGTGATGAACTGGTTTATGTGGAGGCTTCACGCATTTCTGTGCAAGCGTCCAGCCCGTTCAGTTCAGAGGTGCTCTTGTCGCATGGTCGATGCCATCGTCCTTAGGTGTGAGGGCACTCGTGCCTTGCGGGTGGTTGGCTGTCCCACAAAGCCAGCAACGCTGAGTTGGGAGCCGCGCTCGGTATGTCAGGATTTGCTTCTCGAACCAGCTCGATGTTTGCGCATGTAGCTGTCGAGCTGTATGAAGCAAAAAGCGCAGCTTCTGCCTGAGACGAACCCCTTGGCATTTGCGGAGTGCGCGCTGCGTAGATGAGAGCACACTCTGATGAGCAGGAGCTTTTGCTTGTATGTATGATGAGCCAGAGTTTTTTGTGTGCTCGAGTTAGATTGAGCCAGCTTAGTGAGATGGCGGCAGGCGGGTCAGTGCCGGAGCGCGCACCTGTGATAATTGTCGGCGTGTTTCTTGGTGCCTGATGTTGGATAACATGCAGTCCCCATTCCCTGTTTGGGCTGGTCTTGGCCGACATTTTGTGGATTGTGGAGAACGTTTCGCAGCACGAACGCAAGGCTCGCACACTTTCTTTTGAACCTTTGGCAAGTTCTCAGTGTATGAGACGCCAATGCAAGCGCTTGTTTTGGATCTGCCCTTGTTGGCTACTGCACGATTCGAAGAATTTGATCTTCGACCTTGCGACACGGGAGCGACTGTTTTCTTCTCACCAGATTGCAAAACCACAATGTGCTAGCATCATTTCTGCACCCAGGTCCATCATCCAAGGCCTCAGCATTCAGCCAAGCAGTGCTTCGGATCTGATCATGCTTTTTTCTTCATTCCGCTTGCAGAAATGCAGACTACATTGGTGAGAGCCTCTTAACTATCAGAGCAGACTCCATGCAAACTTCATGCTTCGAGGCGCTAGCCAGTTTTGAGCCTCGGCCATCCCGCGCCTCAGTCATGGCTTCCCCGTCGCCGGCGCGGGCCTTCGACTTTGACTACCGGTCCCCGGCAAGGGCGGCTCGGCCAAGAGCTCGCGGCGCACGGGCGAACCGGCAAACGGTTCTGTGTTGCCTTGCCCCTCATCGCGTTTCGGCGGGTTCTCAGGGGACACCAAGTCTCGCCTTTGCCCTGTTTCCAGCTCAACAGTTGGGCCTTCAACATTTTCCATGTTGGCTCCACTAATTGAACCTTTGCTTGCTTGCTGGCTGGCTGGCTGGCTTGGCTTTCACTTGGCTTTCACTTGGCTTTGCTTGGCTTTGCTTGGCTTTGCTTGGCTTTGCTTGGCTTGGCTTGCTTATGATTCTCGTACCATGTTGAGCAGCGTGAACTTGTGTTGAAAAGGGTTGGCTGTGCAGTTCAAGCGTTCAACTATAGCACACCATAGAACACACACACACACACACAGAGTGAGTCTGGACGAGTTTTCGGATACGCATTTCGACATTGCTGTCGCCTCTGTCACCTTCTCTGATCGACTCAGTGGACTCGGCTTAGCCGGCTCGGGCATGCCCGTTGCTTGCGAGGTGGAGGGCTCGCCTTTGCCCTGCGGGCCTGGGTGCAGCGACCGGCTGGAAGAGGCTGGGAGGCTGACGTGTCGGAACTGGGCCGACTGACCGTGGTGAGTTTTCGGCTTCCTGAAAGACCTGCCGGAGTTTCAGTTTCTTGGAGTCAATCAAGCTGGAACCAACACACTTTAGGAGGCACTGGATTGGTGTATTAGAGACAGATCATGCAACCCATTTTGTGTTCTTCAGCAGATGTGACGATCGACCATTTGGGGGGTTTGCTCACGGCTTGTCTCCAGTCCTTCGCTGCGGAGGTCTGCGCAGCATCGCAGAAGCGAGTGATGCAGTGGCGGAAGGACGGATCCCGAGGGGCTACCATTCTGCTACTCTTTGGATCACCGATTTGCTGGTTTTGCTCCTGGGCGCAAATTCTTGTTCGGCAGCGAGTGGCATTCCTCAGGCAGGGCAGTCCTTTTTGGCTGATGTTGGAATGACTGATCACCCTTTCACCTTTCGGAGTTGGTAGGTGACACACTGAGAGACTTGCAGATCTCAACGAGGATGTTCACTTTTTGCGAAATGGGAGTGTGTGTTGAACATTTCGGCACATTTCCCTTGGTGCTCCCATTTGGGTTGCGAAATCCAGGCTTGGGACCTGGATTTCCGATTCTGCGCCTTGTGCCGCGCGCCGTGCCGCTCGGTCCCGCGCCGGGGCTTTTTTGCCCGGAAGTGGCGCTAGGAGCGGAGCCAGGCCATGAACCTCGCGGCCCAGCGGGGTTTGCAGGAGAGAGACTCAGAGAACAAACGAGGGCGATCTGCGAATCGACATGTCGATCATCGCAGCTCCTTAATTCGCTGCGCTTCAAGAAGCCAATTTTGAGCCACCTTTTGAGCGGAATCCATCGAGGGAGCGACGCGGCGCCATTTCAAAGCCTTTCACAACAGCATAGACACCTGTTGTGTAGGTATATCATTCTAGAGCACCCGGGTGGGGTTGTGTGTTTTGGGCGTCGGAGTGCTGACTTCCTTTGACCCTCAGGAGATCCTCCACGAGGAGGATGTGCTAGATGAGCTCCAGGCGTAACCGGTGAATCATGCGCCCCATGGCAATGCCAAGTTTTTTTTTCTCCCCATATATATATATATATATATTTATACATGTTCTGGATTGTTTTTTTGGTTTTGGCCTCTTGGCTTTTGGCTTCTCGGCTTCTTGGCTTTTCGGCTTCTCGGCTTCTTGGCTTTTTGGCTTCTTGTTGGTTTATGCGGCTTTTGGTGGCTTGTTTGGCTTTGGCTTTTCGCATCCTCTGCATTCCCAATTCCTCTCCGGCAGGTGTTCTTTACATTCATGTTATGTATGATTTATGTAATCTATGTATCCATGTATGTCTGTCTGCACTTCTTCGAACATCTTGGGGGGGGGGGAGGCTGCCAACCCCCCCCTCCCGCTGCTTTTAGATTTTTTCAGAGATTGAATCGTCACTTTTTCGACCCCCCCAACCCACTGCTACTTTTTAGATGTTTGACAATGATTGAAATGCACCGTTATTTTTCAATCATCACTTTTTCGACCATCCCGGGGTGCGGGGGGGGGGCCGGACAGTAAGCAATTGTCCCAAGGATGTGGTGATGCTGGGGATGTTGGCGAGACATGCCGGGGATGTTGAAACGATGCTGGGGATGTTGACGGGCTAGTGTTACAATACATACATTTTGTGAGAAAATGCTGTAAAATACAACATTTTACAGGCCAAGACGAAAACACGAAACAAAAACAGCCCAAAATACATCCGCACCCATCTAGCAAGCTCCATCATATTTGGTGGAAGTTGGTTTGCCCTTGGGCAGGCGGATCTCGTTGCCGTTGAGGAGCTGATGGAGGCTCCGAGTGCAGGGCATGATGTGAGCCGCGGTTGTCGACCGTTGGGGATGTCATGGGCGGTTTCGTGCAAACAGATGCCACATGGGCCGGAATTCGAAATGCCGACATGAAGTGAAGAGGCTTGTTTTGTTGCCATTTGGTGCGCGGGGGTTGCAAGGATTGGTGAGGATCCTGGGCCCAGCTGACCATCTATCGAATGGAATGGGCACACCTGTTTGCAAGCCCACGCTTCTCAGGTCTTTGAGGTCTCATTAGTTTTCTTGGCCGCCTGACTGAGTCGATGGTTGAATGATCGATCCGAAGGCGGCGCGCCACTTTCGGGAAGAGGGCTCCAAGCTGGGCGAGGTGGGGCGCGTTTGTGGTGAACCGGACACAATTGGGTCGGTTTGTATTTAAAAACTCAAGGGAGAGAGGGCGGAGGTTAAACATGTGGTGTCATGTTTCTTGTTGGACACGAGGGCTGAGCCAACGGGAGCTTTTCCGTGGCAGTCAAAACGTGGCAGTCAAGACGCTTGAGCCTTTCGTGCGGAAGGGCGCCTCGCCTGACCGCTAGCCGCTAAACAAGGGCCCCAAATCCCAGTGTCAGCTTCAAGCGAGTCAGCGAGGGGAAAGCGCCCGCTGATATCGACTCGACCCTGGCATAGTTGAGAACCAGTTGTATTTGGGGAGTGTGCTGAACACTACTTCCCTCTCCTCCTCCCCATGCTTCATGGGTCGGCTTCGGGCCTTGGCTGGTCGTCTCAGGTCACTTGATTCGTTTGGATCGGTTCGGGCATCAGGCAGTGCTTCAGTGCATGAAGGCGGCGGGCGACCGCACAGAGGCAGGGGTCTGGTAGGCCATGCAGGGCTTCTGTTAGGATGTGGGGCCAGCTCGGGGAAACGACAAAGGTAGGTCTCATGAATTGGACATATTTGACCAGGTTTCAGCTTTCTGCGATATTTCTCGAGTTAAGAGCATGTGATTTGCAAGTGTGTGTGTGTGTGTGTGGTGCGTGTGAGGGAATTGTGTTTGGCACTAGGGTATGGAGTCCTGAAAGAGTCGATGATATTTGCCTCGTTTCGCAGTTGTTTTTTCTTGTGCGGCCTGCAGCCACAGCCAGGTCATTGCGCAGGCCAAAGAAATCCTGCGCGGGGCACGGGAGGATTACCGCAAGGACCGGCGCCTTAAGCCGCGGATGCTTGCGGCGAGGGCTAGTCATGAGCCATTTCATGAGAACCGAGAACCCAAAACCAGTGACCCTGGACAAAAGGTCGGAGGATACGTAGATGTTATCATACCCGATATGATATGAGAATCACATGTGTTGTTCGCACTTCAGATTGCAGACATGTTCTTCCTCGAGTGGGAACAATTAACTACATATGAATCTTCAAATGACGCACAGGGGGCGGGACTCATTTGGCTGTGGGTCAAAATCAATGGTACCATTTTGGGGTAGGCGCACCACCCATTTTAGTCTATTTTAGTCGGGATTGGGATGTTGACTGGGGCTACGGGATTTTGACCCATGGCCATTTGGCTGTGGAAGTCTTTAGTGTTAGAGTTTTGGCAATGTGATTGGAACTGACTCACTTTTAACTTTTAACAAGCTCCTTTTCCAGAGTTTGCTGGAATGGCACAGACGGCAGGAGCTTGACGCAGAGGAAAGGCGGCTGGCAGAGATGAAGGAGGCCAGCATTCATCAAGCCTTTGTTTGGTTTGTTGCGGTGGAGGGGCTTGTTCTTCTGTTTTCTTGCTGAGCATTGGCAACGGTACCTTGGCAAAATTGGATGGCCGGTTGGCTTCGTGCGCCGCCACACGTGATCTGCAAGAGTGTTTCAGAGTGCCCGTTGTCGTGTCACCTGGGGCTTTCTGGTGCCACTTGACGGGGAATCTTCAGGGACTCTTGCTTGGGGGCCAGGGGACCAGGATCGCTGAAGAAAAGGGTATATGCATACACCACTTAATGCATTACATTCACATCACAGGTATATTACACCCACATTGTGCTTCCATTGCAACTTGGCAACGCGTTTACATTGTACTAACTCTTTTTAGAGCGTTAGAAAGGTACTCTTGCTGGCAGGCCAGCCGCGCCCAGCAGCTGGACATCGAGGACTTCCTCTGGCGGTGTCTTGGCTGACCCGATGTCCCACCGGTCAGTCGCACCGGATGCAAGAAGCAGGTTTGAGGCAGAGGGTCGATTTGTCTCACTTGGGATGAGCTGCAGGCATCCTGACAGTGCACCGACCGGGTGCTCATTGGTGTGTTTTCACCTCGCGCCCTTTTTTGGCAGCTGTCTGTTGCCGAAACGTTGCTTGGTTAGGTAGCTTGACATTCATGTCAAGAGTTGCAAAGTTTTTGATTCAGTGCACTTCCCTCAATCTCTGGAACCAGCCCTGTAGCAGAACTATTGTAACAATTGTGTCATCCTTTCCTTCAAAGGGACCACTTTGGCCCACGGAACACTGCGGAGTCCGAGGTACAGCCGGTGCCTGGGCCTCGAGGTGTCGCGGGTCGCCGCGCAGACGGTGAAGCTCAACTTCACGCTTCTGGACGAGGCTTGGAAGCGAAGCGGCATCCTTGGGATTCGGACGGTTTGGGGATTCGATTCCCGATTGGAGGATTCGGAGGATTCGGAGGATTCAATGTGGAAAGGGTTCAATGTTCAAGCACCAGTTGTATCCCAGCCGAATGTTCTTTGAGCCTCACGCTGTCCCACAAACATCTATGCTAGTAATCGGAGAGCGGGTGGCTTCGACATTTGCGCGGCCCGGTTTGAAGTTGTGCAAAGCTGTGGCTGGTTTGAATGTCGACACAAGAATGGATGTTCTGCTATTCGCCCAACACTTTTGGCACCCAGTCACTCTAACTTCAAGTTGCCATGCCTTCCATAGTGCTCTGTATGAAATTCGTTGCATGTTCCAGCCTTCCTGCATTACTTCAGCTTTCCCTTTGTTCCCTTTAATCTACCACTTAGGTGGTGAGCTGGCATCTTTCAGCCCTTGCACGCTTTGCCTCAGGCGACGCCAGAACGTGAGTTCTCCGTGGTGCTCTGCCTGGCCAAGGAGGCGATCGGCCGTCGATCCGAGCAAGAGGTACGCATGTTTCGGTGATATCAGGGAGTATTGACCTCGGAGAAGACAGCTTTGCCATCGCTCCAGTTACCATTGATGCATCCATCCATCCATCCATCCGTCCGTCCATCCGTCCGTCCGTCCGTCCATCCATCCATCCGTCCGTCCATCCGTCCGTCCGTCCGTCCGTCCATCCATCCGTCCGTCCGTCCGTCCGTCCATCCATCCATCCATGCATCCATCCATCCATCCATCCATCCATCCATTTATCCATCCATCCATCCATCCATCCATCCATCCATCCATCCATCCATCCATCCATCCATCCATCCATCCATCCATCCATCCATCCATCCATCCATCCCATCCATCCATCCATCCATCCATCCATCCATCCATCCATCCATCCATCCATCCATCCATGTGTCCGTCCTAAACTCCTGGAGATTGTGTAGGAACTCATCTCTTAGAGCTTGGGAGCTCCTTAGCTCGTGGACTGGACAGATTGCTTGCCGGCGCCGCGGCGTCCCTTTGAGATGGTGCCATTGAGAGCCCAGCTGGTTTTGTCCTTGGGTGGTATGTTCGTGAAAGCCGCGCAAAGCTTTATGTGGCACGGCGCAAGGGCTACGCTGCTTCGAGCTGCAGCCCTGAGGCACGGGGCGCTGTTTTGCTGTTCCAAAGGAGCTTGAAGCTTTCCCTGCAGCAGGCGCCCAGGAGACATTGTGAAATCACCATGTCATTCCTGTAATGCTGCCGGCGTATGTTTCGTTCCCCCCCCCCCTTCCCTTTGTTTTTTTCAGGGAGGGGAGCTCTTTCTCAGCAATGCTTGTGCCAGGGCTTGTTTCGCTTCTAATTCAGGTGCCTGAACTGCCAGAGCTTGTGGAGCGCCTCAATCAGGCCTGGATCCGAGGTAAGGGGTTTGTTCGACGCCACATGGAGATGGACCATCCAACAGCTGGTTTTGTTGAACAGTGAACGGGGTTGAGAGACTCGCCATGCAAGTTGTCTGTTAGTTCGTTCGTTTGGTGGTTTTCTTCTCTTGTTTGTCCTGCTCGAGCAGGAATCCGGGCCGTGAAGCAAGCCGTTCCTGTCTTGCATTTAGTGGTTTAGTGCAGATGGTCGAAAGTACAAAAGAGGTGAGCCAGTATGGAGAGACGGAGTGGGAATTCCCTGGAAGGTGGGGTGATGGTTGCTGTGGATTTGCTCACCTTGGATGATGCAGCTCCGGGATTGGACTCCCCATGGCCAGGACGCTCTCAGCGCGTCCGCGGTCCCACTGTGCTGCCGGCGGGAGGTTGCACTGGATGTGAAAGGCTCCCTGAAAAGTTGGCACTTCGAGTAGACCCAGACAGCATTTCTCAGCAACTGGCACCTCCTTTGCCTCAACGCCGCCATCTCGTGGTAGGTTTGCGACTCACACTTGGCCGGGCAGGGGACAGTGATTGACTTGCACGTGGCAGGTTTGTTTGCGGCCTCCGCCGAGCTTTCGCTGCTGTTTGATGCTCGGGCCCCGAGGATTGCCGGTGAGATGAGACACAGTGCACGGCGTGGTTGCCCCTGAGATTGAAGCCTGTAGACATGGCAGGTATGCTATCTAGCAGTTGTACCACTACTGCCATAAGGACAAGAAAATGATCAAGGGTAAATGAGGGGTTAACAAGCTCCATCTACGGCTTAACTGTCACATTTCTTCTTTGGGCTTTTGCATCACAGTGCTGCTGTCCCATCGCTCGTGGTTGCTGGTGGAGTTATGTTTGTCTCCTGGGTGCGCCAAGCAAAGTGGAGACAGTTGGGTTTCGGGGTTGGTGGACGTGCTCTGCTTGCTTGAAGCGTTTTTGGGAGCCTTCAGCAAGACGCTTGACAGACGAAGCTGAAGGTTGAATGGATGGCAATGTGTTGCTTATGTTGCACGAGAACCGGAGTCGCAATGCATTTGCATCACGGATGGTTTGCTTGAGATTATCGGGGAGTTTTTGTTGCACCACTTGCTTGTGCCACAGACATATGCTCTAGCTCCAGGCCGACATGCAGCTTTAGAGCCCTTTGCTCCTGTTCACCAGCAAAGGGCATGGCCATCACTCTCAACATTACTCCTTTTGCTTCCCACAGAAGGGTGCAACAAATAAGAGCAAAGGTACAACTGGCTCAAGATGTAAGATCACAGTTCGGGCTCCGTTGAAGCCATCGTCATCTCAGACAGGTTCACTTCCCATCGATTCCGCAAGGCTCAGCGCATTGCCGAGGCCAGCACCACGCCAATGATTCCAACGAGGCCACGGCCTTGCTTTCCAGGTTCTGCTGAATTGTGACCCGTGCTAGGCATCCTAAAGATGTTTTTAGCATTCATTTGGTGGCAGTAAAGGGTGGGTGGTGACAGCTATTGGGACGTGCAGGTAGGAGGCCCGCGGCGCACGCACGCAACCTTTGGCCAGGAGAGTAACGCAGTGCGATGGCAGCCGCGACGGCCACATGCCCTCGCGATTTGCCCAGAAGGGCTCCATCATTTGTTTTTTATCCAAATTCATGCACAGCATCGGATGCATCGGGCATCCCTTGGCGGCTTGCTGGAACAGGATCCGTTGCAAGGCTTTGTTTCACCGACACCCAAGCGCGCCACGGGCTCCTGATGTGCACCTGGTGTGTCAGAGTTTGCAGTGACCGCCCCTTGCTGACACACCTGGCTAATTCGCCGGAGCCTCTCGCGTTCGAGCCAAATGCCAGATGCGCTGCGATCGGATGGGTTGGGGGTGCATGGTGGTGGTGGTGGAGGTGGTGTGGAAATGGACTTTGTTTTCAGCAGCTTGTTTCATATCACCTCGCCCGCTTTCTATGACGCCGTCAACTGGTTAAGGACAGGACATCTCCCTGAATTGGTCGGCGTTGCTCAGTGGCCAGTCGGTAGCCGTCCTTTTTGCCCTTCGACCTGTGCTTGGTTGAAAGAAATTGCAAGCTTCCCGAGCACTTGGGAAGCCTTGGGAATAGGCATTGGACGGCACAGAAAGCAACATGACAAGTCTTCGAGAACCTTAATTGCTCCGTCCTTGGAGAAGCAAATGGGAGGCCGCAGACTCCCAGGCACCTACAAAAGTTTAGCCGGCTGCATCTTCTGACTTTTGAACGCTCCACGCCCCCTCCCCTCCTCCGGACCCAAGGATTCCTGGACGACCGCAAGCGCTGTCATTTGGGGCTTGCCTGGCCATGCGGTGCGAAAGCAGTTGGTGCGTGTCCAGCAGATGCTGGACGATGGGTCTGTGGCGTCTTGGGCCCTGCAGGGCCATTTGGACTGCTTGTGAGGCAGAGCGGCTCTTAAGGCGTGAGTGGGTGGTGGTGCCGTTGTTCTTTTTGCATCTGATCTTTCTCCCTTCTCCACGCGGCTTCGCTTTGACATCACTTTCCAACACATGTGTGTCCTTTTTCATGGCCACTTAACAAAGGGTCTGGGAGGGTGTTCCAGCCTTTTTCTGGGGCCTGCTTCGTTAATATGTAGGGGCCCAGCCCTTTTGGGGTTGGAGTCAGGTTGGGAAGACTCTCCGAGGCCTGAGGTCAAAGAAGAAAGATTGACGCACACCCAGCTCCATCCAACGGAGACGATGTAAAGAGACGCATTGCCCACCTTGGCCAATGCCACGAAATGCCTGCTCCGCTGCGGTTCTTTGATCAGACGCAGAGACTATGCCATCGTCAAGAACTGCTAGTGGAACGCAATTGCACGGGTCGTCTTAGACACATGCACAATTTCTTTCCGAGTCTTCATGAGTTTCACGGCAAGTTTTGCACGAAGCTGTGTATTATACACGCACGGTATCATGTTATGCTCTTTCTTCTTCTTTCGTTGTTTCGGTGGGTGTATAGGTCAACACACATGTACATATATATCATATATATATATATATATGCGCACCGTAGTGCATCTATACAGACGTGCCTACACGGGCGCCCCATAAGCAAGATCCAGGTACTGAGCTTGCAGGTGGGAACGCATTCGAAGACGTAAATGCAACACACCCACACACACACACTCTCCACACATATGCATGTACTCATGTGCAAGCTCATTCAGGCCATGTTTTCACATGCATTCTATCATAGATCTGTAACCATAGATGCTGTGTTTGGAAGCATCCACGGGCACATAGGTAAAGCCATAGGAAGGCCAACTGGCCCTTGAACCAGAGCCATTGGGGCCGTTTCCTGCCCGGAGTCAGCATGGAGGAGGCAGGCAGAAGTCGCAGGTTCTCCGTGCTTGGTGCGAGAATGGGTGAAGTCTGCTTCTTTTTTTGCCATATGTTTCCGCCTTTTTGTTTTTACATGGTTTGATTTTTTGTTTGTTTGTTGGTTTTCCTCGACGCTTTTTGATGGACGATCCTTTTGGGGCAAGATGCAAAGTTCTCGAGCAAGGTCTGTAGCATGCGCTGGAGAGCCCCTAAAGAACTACAAGAACTTCACATTTTGCCGTGGCTGCCCGTGTCTTTGGCAAGTGGAATCGTGTCAAATTAACCATCATGCAAATGCAGATAGCTCGAACATGCAGATGCACGATGAGTCTAAATCACGCTGGGCAATTTCAAGCAAGCAACAACAGGGGAGCCGTGGGATGGTTTGACAGCTCAAAACACCAATGAGTTTTTCGCCGGATGAACAAGCAAATCGGAGAATGGGAGCTACATTGTTTGGAGGACAAACTTGTTTCCCACTGCGTGCTTGCTGAAAAGCGCTGTCATTATGGACTCAGAGTGGGAAATGGAGAATTGCGCATCTTCACATGGTGCCATTCACTCCAAACCACCGAATCACCTCAGCACCCCGGAGGTACACTTTGCGGGCTCGCCTCTGGATCAGTACCTGCAGGCCTTTGGAAGCAATCCACTAGCGCGGTGTTAGTCTTGTGGTGGGCAGGCGACAGATGTTTGTTTGCATTGTTTGCGTGTCGCTGGGCCGTTTTTTTTTTTTTTTTTTTTTTTTTTTTTTTTTTTTTTTTATTTTTTTTTTCTTTTCTTTTCAGCTATCGCACCTTCGAAAGGGATTATTTGGCGGCTGATGACCAGACCCGCTGATGTTTTTGCACGTGGAGCAGTCAAGCACGCAGGCGCACCAACCCCCCCGTGTGTGGTTTGTTCCTGGGACGCTTTAACAGACTACACATCGGCCACACATCACTGGCGACATAGGTTGTCAAAGCTGTGGTGAATGCCACAATTGCAGAGGCTGCGTGCGTGTGTGTGTGTGTGTGTGTGTGTGTCTGTTTTTTGGGTGTCCTTTTCACCTTGGCTTCAAGAGCAAGCACAAAATGAAATCTCCGACTTTGACACATACCTAGCTAACCTTCCTTCTTGTCCGGTGCCAGGAAGTGGGCAGCAGCATGAAATGCACCGTGGAGGCCATTTCGGTCAATCTCGGGGAAGGGCAAGCGGGCGACCATGGCTTGATCGCGGTGGATTTCACGACAGCGCTAAGCACACAATCCCCCAGCCTTTCTTAGTCCACCACGCCTTCTGGCAGGTTTGCTTGCAGATTCTAGGAATACACTGTGCATCTCGGATGCGAAGCATGCGTTGCACGCGCAATGTATCACACTGCTGGAGGGGCGAAATGTTGCATTGATTGCAGCACATTTTGGCAAGAAGTCGCCCAAGCCTCGCTCACCAGCCCTCTCCTGGACGCACGGGCCTCAAGAGATAGCTTGAGGATACTGTGGCATTGGTGCGGGCGCGTTTGCAGGAGTTGGGAGACACTGTTTTCCAACCCCTTCTGCATTCAAATTGCAGTCCCCGCAATCTGAGCCCTGGGGCTTTTGGAGTTCTGAAACAAGGCCATGGCTGCGGAAAGATCCCTTGGTGGCATCTCGCCGGCGCAAGCCGTTAGCTTAGGACATGGCGCTGTTTTGGCTCGTGGCAAGCAGCTGCGCGCTTGCGCTGGCCTCTTCTCAGACACTCGGAGTGTGCCCGGTGCCAGGTGCCCTTTGGTGCTCAGAATTTTGCACTCACCGGCCTTTTTGACACGAGGGTCATCCCAAATGACTTGTGATGGCATGCCGATGCATGCATCGCGCCTCAGGAACCTCAGATCCTCCAGGAACGCCACAAGCGCTGGGAGAGATTGGGCCAATTTTACTGCCGCTCGGCAAATAGAACATGTCTCCAAATAAGGATTTAGAGCACCAAACAAGTCTGCTCTCCTTTTGCTTTTACTTTCAATCGACCTGAACATGGTACTCTCAAAAACAGACCCACCCCAGTCAAACCGATGGCTTCAGCACGAAAGGCCCTGGAGAGAAGTGCCTGGGCGCCGCCTCCCCACGTGGACGGCTACAGGCGGCGGACAAAAAGAGCGGGTCAAATAACTGTTTGGGTGTTGCTCAATGATTGTTGTTGGCAAAAGTAGGCACTCAAAATGGCCTGCCCTGGAAAATGGAAACCTGGACGAAAACCTGCGGTCCATATCCTGGTGGTTTTTAGTTTTGACCCATACCCCCCGTATAGGAATCAGTCCCCTGCAATGGCTGGTTTTCTTGTGGGGTCTCTTTTAAATATCAACCAGGAGGGTCTCTAATGGGGAAGACCCCCAAGAAAGCTATTAATTCTATCCACCAAGTGGCCCCAATAAAAGTTCATACACATGTGCGGTAAAGGGGGTGATAGGCCCTGCTTGCCACATCTCGAGGGAAGATGGGGCATCGCAGCATCTAGTTTCCATGTCAGTTGGGGGAAGGCGACGAATGTTGACTGTAGCTTCCTGTGCGATGGTCTGTGAAAAGCATAGGAAATAGAAATGGTAGAAGGATAGTGGCCCATCCACATCCAGCCAAACAAACGTCCTCACGACTTGTAGACGTGCCTCGGCTTGCAGGTATTTGGCAACCTCGACGCGCTATGGCACCAACCCCCAAACTGCCTGCGGTCTTGATTCCGGAGCACTTGTCCAAGGCGTGGGGGTGTGAAGCGGGTTCTGCTGCCTGGCTGCTTGGGCAGAAAGTGCGCATTTGGCCATGGCAGTTGATCAATGGGTCCTCTGGACTTGTTAATCAGTACTAAAAGCAAGCAGCTAAACTTCTAAGAAGACCGAATATTTTCCGGCGAACTCCTCATTTTGGCGCATGGCCTCTTTTTCGTGGCCGGACGTCAGCTTGCCGACTTCCCACTTGCTCAAAGTTGGCGATTTGCCCTTGCCAGGCACCGACTACTTGGCGGTTGCAACTGCGCAGGCAATGCAGGAAGCTTGGGTGCACCAAGAAATGCACGTGTGTCGAAACCAGCTGGCATCCCCTTGTTGGCACACCCCAAGATGACCAGCCACTTTGCTTCAATGTCGGTTCCCAGCCAGTTTGCTTCAAGTTTGGTTGGCCAACAATCACAAATCGACACCGGCAGCTGATTTGCCGCTACCTTGAGTAAGTACACACACCTTCCGACAGCTTGTATTGCTCATTCCATTTTAATGCCACTATTCGATACTGCTTGGATCTTATTTTGACCTTTACAGCTTTCTCCAGTATTCATTAGCTATTTGCTACTTCGTTTTTTTCCGCATTCCTGCATGATCCCAGTTTCCCATTCGAGCTGGGAGGTGTTGCACAGCTCATTGCTCACCACTGGGCTGGTTTTCACTTGGGCGACAGGACGGCTGCTGCCGCTGCAACCGCGGTGGCGGCGGAGGACAGACCGCGTCCCGGCCAAACGGATGCCGTCAAATCAGTCCGAAGGCTGCGGCTGATTCCCCTGGAAGCAGCATTTCCAACAGCTTGCTTGGTTTGCTTGCATTTAGGGGTCTCAGCATGGGCACCTGCTGACAAAAGGCTGGAGGTAGTTGCTCAGATTTGGGTGTCACATACTTTCACAGGCCACATTCCTTGAGGGGTCCTTTGGGCAAGTGAGCCAGGTATTTATTCCTGGTGCATGCGGGAGGATCCATTTAAGGGGGATACCTTGGATTAGTACGATCATCTGAATTGGTTCCAGGTTGTCATTGCCCTCCTGACGGGCAGCAATAGCGTTGGTCCATGGTGAAGTTTGGGATGGGCAGAAGGACTACACATGTTCCAACAAACATTCCTCCGCAGAGCTCATGTGACAATAAAAACTCGGACAGACAAAGGTTTGAAGCACAGACCCAACCATGAACGGGTGTGCCTGCTTTTATGATTTGTCACTTGGCTTTGGGCAGACCACTTGAAAAACCGGGTTTGACTATGGTTCGTGTTGTTTGTGGCTTGGCTTTGGAGTTCTGTGATGGAGTTTGAGACACCCTGGCCGATTTGGACGGGAGCCTTTCTCAGGGTGTCTGTACCACACCCTGGGACACCCACTGAACCTCAGAATGATGGGCAATATTGTTTGCATTTCCCCCGGGTGCTTGCCTGAGGCCAGCCTGGGATGCGGATCCTGTGGCAGGGGCAGGTTCATCCGCCAGCTGCCGCGCGGCTTCCACATTTGGACCCCCAAAGACAAGGCCATCTTTCACAAGGAGACCGGGAGCGCCTTTGCAACGCGCGCCTGGGGGGGGGCGGGGGCTTGGGCCGGATGTCTGTTTTTGGGAATCGGGCTGGGGAAATTATTTTGCGTCCGGGAGAACTGAGGATGGCTACTGCATCTGTAAATCAACTGCGCGGATGAGACTTGCGAGCAGTGCACCTCTTTTGCCGCATGCGCAGGAGTACAAATTTGCCGCCAGCCTAGCTTTTGCAAGAGACTGTCAGGTGTTTGCCGGAAGGATAAATGTACCGTGCACTGGCAAATACATCATCAGGCCCTTTAAGAGGCTGTTGATCATTAACATCGTTGACACGAGCTTTGCTTAATCCAGAGTTTGTCCAGTTGGTTGCAGCGCTGCTTGACTGTGTAAGGCTTCGCACTGGCAGTGAATGGGTGTTGGGGTTACCCGCAGACATGAGCTCCGCTGGAACATCTATTGCGATAATCATGGGATGCATGTCGGGCAAACATGGGTGTGTTCTTGTTCGCAGATATCCCTGTTGTGCGGTTCAAAGGGAACCGGAGGGCAACCACGAATTTTCAAGGGCCCCCCCCGTTTTGGAGACCAAAGTCGTGTGGCCGGTAGGTGGTGGTGGACATTTGCCCACACGTCGACAACAAGATGTGGTGCCCCACCAGCCCTGGCGAGACCAATACCTTCGGAGCTTCGAGCTCGGGGGGGTTCGGGGGGTTCGGGGGGTTCGGGTTCCGCTGGCTTTGGGTCCACTAAGAGCGGAGGGCAAAACGCAGAAAGTACCACCAGGGCGGAACGGAGGCTGCTCCTTGTCTTGCACCCTTGGCCTAGGTCTTGTCAGTTCTTGTCTTTTGGAAGCGGATTGGACATGTTTGATCTTCAAGCCATTCTAAGGGCTTCCTCCCAGCCGGTCTGCGTCTGTTGTGTCTCTCTGTCTGTCTCTGTCTCCCCACACCCACAACCACACAAAGACACAGAAATGATTTCACTCATGCGTGATGTCACTCTGAGTGGTCACACACACACACACACACACATCTATTTTGTATATATACATGTCAACCCAAAAGACAATGTGACAATGAAGCCATGTGGCCGTGACCTTAGGGAATACCCCTCCCGTGCTCCCGCATCAGCGGATGTTGGTATTTTGCTCATCTCGGGAAGCCCTTGCAAGCTTGTCTAATCTGTTGCCACTGGCCCAGCGTTGGCCATTTATTAAAAGGGCCCTCATGCATTCATTTGGACACGTGTTACATGCAGGTTTCCTTGCATGAGCAACTTGCCATCAGTTTGCAGTTGACTTAGAGGGTGCCAGAATCGGACGTCCAATCTTTCCAATGGTATTCATTTCGGGAACGAGAGATGCTTGTCCGCGGCTCATGTTTTCTTTGGGCCTCCAAGTCCTGCAGACGCAGGAGCCACTGGTCAGGGCTTGCACCAAAGGACAATCATGCGTGAAATCCTAGAATCCGTTTGTTGGAATCCATTCAAGAAGTCACCCAAACTGGGGAGTCCCTCAAGGTTCACAACCACTTGGACTTTGCCACGGTTCCAGACAAGCCAGGGCCCCAGTCGTGTTGCATTGGCTTGCGCGGTTTTACGGATGCGTGTCATAAGGATCACCTTTTCTGCATTGACGGCCCTGAGGTTTCTTCCCGTGTTTCCTTTCGTTCATTGGTTCAACAAGCCTTGACTTACCATGCAGTGATAGAGCAGCTCAAACATTTCTTCTTGCCAGCGGTCACGGTCATGTGGCAACCCAGCCAAAATCGGCCCTGCAATTTCGTGAGTGAGATGGGACGACAACCTACGAACAATTTTGCTTTAGATCATTTCTAAAGCCGTTCGTGGTTTCTGGCAGCTCAGTACAGTGGCTTGACAGTGAGTCCGTTTTTGTACACTTTTGCCAGACCGTGTGATGGCTTGGGGAGTTCCCCATGTCCTTCACGGACCATAGTCTCTTGACACGGGCGGGGCAAAGGCAAGGGCAAAGGCCAGTGCAGGTTGTTTCCACTCAGGCTCAGAAAAGAAGCCATCTCTACTCTTTGAATGCTGATGCTCTTGATACTGGGGTGAGGAAGTCAGCATTATTATCATCAGCATCTACATGGTTAAGCAGGGTCTGACAACTTCCGGGGCTGGACCTCGAGTTTTCGCATGCCCACTCAGGAAATCAACAAACTTTGTGTTTCCAGTTTGCACGGGTTCTTGTCTCATTCCGCTTTTGCTGCCAGCTACGACAACTACTACTTCCAGTTCACCCCTGAGCCGTGCGATGGGGAGATGCAGATCGGGGCTCAGAGAGAGAGAGAGAGGGAGAGAGAGAGAGAGAGAGTGAGTGAGTGAGCGAGCGAGCGAGCGAGTGAGAGAGACTCAATGGAACAAGGCAGCACGCGGGGCTTTTGGATGGGGTGGCTTATGAAGCTGCCAACAAAGATTTGTGACGTGCGTGACAAGGGTTCCTGATATAGCTTCCGTGCAAGGAGCCTTGACAAAGATTACCAGTAAAAGGGTGTTCGTGAATGTCGGAACATCCAAAAAGCACGAAGTTCTAGAGCTCTGTGACACAAATCTTACCACCACCGGCTTGAATGTGGCAAGCTTGGGCCTTCTTTTTGGAAGCTGACTGGACTCCGTTGTTCCTTGACTCTCAGGTCGCGACTGGCTCACATGTCCGACTGCAACCTGCGGTGAACTTTTGAGGTCCTTCTCTCAGCTGGTCAGAGTGTCCCTGAGAGCACCATGAAACCATCCAATGATTCGAACAGGGCTCAATACCCTTCCTTGCGAGCTTTTGATCCACCAAGAGTGGCCGGAAGAAGCTGTCTTCAAGGCCCACGAAAAGGATTGTTCTGAGTGAAGAAGCACGGAATGATGAGAAGGATGTCAGAGACAGATTCATCGTTCGTCAGCTGCATCGTATGGTCTTTCGGGACCCGCCCCAAAGAGGCAACTCAGGAGCTCCCGAACTTAGTCTTTTGGAAGGCACAAAGTGGTGACTTCTGCCAAGAATCGAGCCCAAGCAAGTGGTGGCAACCAAGCAGTGGTGCTTTGCGGGACTAGGCATGAAGATTGCTCCATCGCCGAGGCATGGCCTTGCTTCATAGCTCTGCTCGTTTGAGCGACTTCCTGTGCCCGGAGATACCGCCTCGAATTCGTGCGCTTGGACCCTAACTTTTGTAGCGCAGCATGCCTGAGGCCTCCGCCGGCAGAATCCCTGGGCGACCTTGGTTCCCCAAATAGTGCATGCCACAGAGCAAGTTTTGCCAAATTTTGGGGAGCCAACGCTCGCTCTTTTATCAACCGCCGGACTGGCACAGCTTGACCTGAAGCGCGTGGCCTGCAGTGGGCCATCCGCTTCAGGTCAAATTGGGTTCGTCAGTTGCCAGACCGGTCTGGAGTTTTTCTGCGCTCCCAATGACGGAGCACGCATGGCGCAATGGACGCCTGACCAGAGCCATAATCCAGTTCCCGTAGTGGGCGGCAAGGACAAAACTTGTTTGAACAGCGGTACAAGCCGTTGATGAGAATTCAGAAGGCCCTTTGCCATTGTTGCTGTCCATGCATGCCAACTAAGAGGTCTTCGGCATCGGTCAACAAACGATCGCGGGCTCAGTGCCCGTGTCAATTGAATTGGATTCGAGTGGATGCAAATCAGATGAAAAGGTGTGCCGTGGTGTCAATTCAATTGGGGTTTCGTTTTTGCCTTTCGCTGCACTATTAGCATTCGCTATTCGTGATTCACTGTGATTGTTACTTGGAATGTGCCAACATGGGCGCATATCTTGAGCGCAACACTCAGTCATGTCTGCCATCACAAACACAAGCGGCCGGTGGAAACATGCGCTCTCCTTGGACACCCTTTGAGTTGGTGTGCCGAGAAGAAAAACAACATGAAAACAACAGGACACCCTCCCCCCCCGCAAACAGCAATGGCAAGCGGGCATTCTTGGCAGTGAACTCCGCTACATTTTGGGATTTGTGGGCACTGAATGTATCTCCGAAGTTTCATTGTGACGGTCTTGCACCAGCTGGGTGCAAGAGCTGTCTGGTTCTTGGTGTCGCAATTATTTTAGGTGCACCACCCGTTTTAATCTATGTTAGTGGGGATTGAGATGTTCACTGGGGGTACGATTTGGGTGTTGACGCATGGCCATATGGGGTTCAAGCTTCACAGAGGCTTGAGGTTTTCGGCCAGGCGCCGGCCGTGGAGATGGAGGTGAGCTCGAAGGCTCCGCATGGAAGCTGATGGGTGTGGGTCAAAATGAGTCACCAGGGACCGCAGGCTTTAGTCCTTGGTTTCATCCACCAGGGTTCCATTTTGGGTACCTGTTTTTGACCCACAGCCATGTGCAAAAAAAGGCAACACGAGGCGCTCCCTTGGATGTTTGGAGCTTCGAGGTGCCGAACTTGCTGAGGGTCCTTTTTTGTGCGGGGTTGGAGGGAGGAAGTCTATAGCCTTCTCAGCTCCTACACCACTCAAGCCTTGGCACTAGACTTGGTTGGGTGGTGGATCCCACCGCTAGAGGGAGCTGACTCACTTGCTCATTGATCTGAAGCCATAGCAAGAGAGTTCGTAGTTGCTCACAGCTGTGACCAGTTGGAAGCTGTTGCAAGATGTTACAAACTGTTTCTCCGGACTTCAGGTTTTTCACATCTCGCCAGGCGCCTGCGATTGAGCACGGCAACCTGGGTAGGCGCATTGCCCAGGATGGGATTTCGGCGACGCGTGTTTCGGGGAAGGCGAGGTGCAATGGGTGATTGTGCGTGTGTTTGTGTGTTTGTTTTGTTTTGTTTTTGGAGTTTTCAACATGGTGGTTTTGAGTTTCTCTTTGACGTTGGTCGCAAAACCCAGGGCATTTCCTATGTCCAAGCAAGGAGGCTTGGAATGCATGATTCTTTTTGCTCAGCATCGGTTTTTGGGATGACAGATTGGTTGACTGGTTGGTGGTTTGGTCATTTGGTGCCTTGTGCTGCGCGAGTGACAGGGGAGACCCAGCGCTGATAGATCGAATGATATATGGCGCACCTATGCGACGTGAGGCAGCGATCTAGGTGGACACTGTTCAACAGAAAGTCCTTTTGAACAGATTGGACGTGTGCCAAATTGTGAAAGTGGCCAGCTTTTTTTCAGGGACGTTTGTCGAGGGAAGTGGATGACATGTGATGTGTACTGATGTTTCGGCGCATGCACCAGCCGATCGGACACAAATATGAGCTTTCAGCTTGGTCGGGTTGCGCTTATACTGTCAAAGCCATACATCGTATATGAGTACAATAGAATGATTGTGATGCTTTGTGAAATTGTTTGGGCTGGCTATGGCAATCCTTGCAGAGCAGTAGGGCCCAACCATCTCAATAGCGAAGTTCGACGCTTCCAACTATTTCTTCTCAAGGGACCAGCGCCATATCTTCTGCGGCCAAGTTTGACTGGAGTCATGGTTTTTGAAAGGTCCTGGCAAACCGATGTGTTTTGGGGGATGGTACCGCCACATCGCTAGAGGAGATCGCGGAAATCTGCCAGGAGCACAGGGGATGGGGCGAGACATGGGAGCAAAATCGGCATCAAGAAAAGTATCCGTGTTCATGTTGGAAAGTGTGATGAAAGCCTTATTAGGCTGAATCAACAGGCAATAGGTTTTGAACTCTGCTTGTTTGGACATGGTGGAGGATGCTTCAAGGGGACTAAGAAGAAGCCAACAGCTTGGAGGATCCATCTTTTCAAATCCCACCTGCCCTGACCCCAAAGATTCTTCTCAGTCCTAGGGCATTCATTTTTAGAACTTGAAGTCGCACCCTTCGAATCTCAGCCAGAGCATGTCCTGGTGGAACTTGGCCAACTTGGCCAACTTGGCCAACTTGGCCATGTCCTTTTCGCACCAAGGCGAGAAGAATTGCCTTCTTGCAGAGGGCGCGGCGCAGCGGGCTGTAGGCAGTTGCTTTTCCGGCACGGCATTCAGGTGCATCATGAAATTTGTGGGTGGCACAAGGAACGCTTATCTTCTTTGAGAACGCCGAAAGCGCCTTTTCCATGGTCGACGGCTCCTTTTCTGGTCCCCAAGAAAGGCGAGTGCCCGACTGGCAGAATGAGATCTCATTTCGGTTGTGCGTTAGTCAGGTTTCTGACTGACGATTTGGTCTCCATTGCTCGATGTAGTCACATTCCCCACTTTTTGAGAAGGC